TCATCTTAATTACATCTGAAATGACCCCGTTCCCACATGGGGTCACATTTGGAGGTACTGGGGGTTAGGACTTCAACCCAGGGATTTGAGAGGACACAGTTCAACTCTTATCAGGTACTCAGTGAAAAGCACGTCTCCCTTCCTCTGATGTTCCCCAGGCTCCCAGCTCCCTGCTGTAGAGGCAGCCGAGGTCCCCTGGTTACTGGGTGTTCTTCCAGGGGCCCTCATTCATTTATCAGCATCTACATGCGCATTGTTCACCCGCAAGTGAGGGCATTCCATGTTCCCTGCATCAACTTTACTATTTCCACTTCAAATATCACTGTGAAAATTTCCATGTCGGTCCGTCCAGTCCGTCCATACTCTGTGAAGTGTCGGTAGAGAGGAACTGCAGCATTTCTTTAGCTGGTCCCCTATGAGTGGACATCCAGGTGGCTCCAGCCTTCTACTATTAGCAACAATGCGGCAATGTGGTGGTCTTGGGCACCCGTGGATTTGCAGGATTTTGTGGGCGTGGGTCTGTTAGCTGGAAGAGGAAGTGCTCAGTCTTTGGGCCAAGGCATTTAAAAACTGGCGATCTCATGCCAATTCCTCTCCAAGGAGGTCAGAGAAGGTCGGTCTTGCCGGCAGTGCTCAGAGCGCAGGGTCCCCTAATCTTCCTGGGCTGTGTGCAGTGAACATCCCGGTCTTTGCCAATCTGATCTTTCCCTTGTGCTTTCAATTTGTACTCTATTATTCTGAGTGTAATTGAGCATCTTTTCATGTGTTCAAAAGACATTTGGAATTCCTTCTCCGAACAGTCTGTACCTATCCTTTGCCCATTTTTCTACTGAGAGAAAAGGAAAGGAAGAGGTTTTTCGCAGATGCAGTGGAGGGGACAAAGCAGGGCCCAGGAAGATGGCGACTGGCCCTGAGAAATGGCCTGAGGCTTTCTGGCTCTCTCTGGTCCGCTTGTCTGAGATTTCTGACCCCGGCCTCCCCTCCTCCTCCTGCCAGAACAGCTGCCAGCTCTGGAACCAAGAGAAACCTGGAAATTAAATTCTGGGCTTAGAATTGCAGATTTCAGCTCAGAATATGAATTGTCTGAGGAACAACTTGGCTTGTCCTTGCTTCTGGTTCATCTCTGTCGGGCTGATTTAAGCAGCAGAGATGGAGGCGAATGAGAGGTGGGCGCTTGTTGCCGGAATTACTAATAGACGTGGGCTGTGGGCGTTTGGCCCAGCAGTTGAAACTCCACTTAGGACTCCTGTATCAGAAAAACTGGATTCAGGTCTCAGGTCTGTTTCCGATCCCAGCTTCTCGTTGAAGCACACCTTGGGAGGCAGCAGGTGACAGCTGGATTACTTGGGTCCTTGCCACCCATGTGGGAGACCCAAATTCTGGGTTATTGGCTTTAGCCTAGTCCAGCCCTCGCTGTTGGGGCCATTTGGAGAGTGCACCAGTGGATAGAAGATCTCTTTCTCTCTCCTCTGTCTCTCCCCCTCTATTTTTCAAATAAATAACTTAAATTTTAAAAAAATAATAGACTTGGGAGAAGGAAGATTGGAAAAGGTACATATATCAGAAACCGGTGGGGAATCTCTCCCCAGGCCACACACTGTTTCTCCTTTTCTTCATTGGCTAGTGCTGTGCTGGGTGCACGCCCAGAGGGCTGTCTCTGTCTGCACGTGTATTATTGTAGAAGGTATGACCGAGGGTGCTCACGGAGTTGTTCTGAGGTCTCCGCCGCCACATGGTTCGCACTGTGGCGATCAAGCTGGCCATGGGGGCACGCCCTCTGTTGTTTCCACCAGGGCCACAAAGTTGTCTCCAGAGGAGCTGTCGTGCCTCACTGTCCTGCTCTGCCGCTCCTTGGGAGTCCACTCAACACCTCCTGACAATAATCCCTGAGCAAGTCCCACGGAAGGCTTCCAAGGTATGCAGGTAGCTGATCTGTGTAGACTCCAGCTGACACTATTGTGATGGTTAATTTTACGTGTCAACTTGGCTGTGCCATGGAACCCAGGGATGTTTCTGTGAAGGTGTTAACTGGATGAGATTAACACTGAAATCCATATACTTTGAGTCAAGTGAATTGTCCTCTATAACAGGAGCGGCCTCCTTCAATGAGTGGAAATCTTTACCAGACCTCCCCCAAGCAAGGATTCCGCCTGCAGATGACCTCTGGACTCTACCCTGTATCTCCAGCCTGCCACTCTACCCTGCAGATCTTGTCCTGTAGCTCCATAGCCTCCTGAATCAATTCCTTAAAATAAATCTCTCATGTCTTTCTCTCTGTCTCTCCTTCCTTGGAATTTGTGGGGAGCAACTCGGACTAGACTGTTACTGGAATTAAGACTTATTCTATGCATCTGTTCTCCCACAATATGGCGCTGAGAAGGGAGAAACAGCTTCTACGCAGCTGCCTCCAGTTCAACCAATAAACTGTAGGACCTGCTCCTGATTGGAGGAGAGCAGCGTACTCGGCGTGTGGGTAGCAGAGTTGGGATTGGTGGAAAAAGACTATAAAGGAGGAGAGAGACAACATGCACCAGGAACATCTAAGAGGAACATCTATCTGAAGGAACACCTGTGCAGCCCCCGAGAGCCGGCCGGCAGTGTGCTGCTCCCCCGCGGAAGTGGGGAATGTGGCAGGGGGAACCGCCCTTCCACGGAGGTGGAAGGGTCGGTAGCCAACCCGGGAAGAACCAGCAGCAAACCCGGGGAGGGCCGAGCAGACAAAAGAACAACGCAGGGTCCTGTGTTGTTCCTCCACGAAGACGGGGAGCGACAGAACTCTGCCTTCCAAATATAAGTAATTCTTAAAAAAGGGAGAGGGAGGGGGAGGGGAGTGTAGAGGGGCCCATCACTGTGGTGCAGTGGATTAAGCTGCCACCTACAATGCCAGCATCCCACAGAGGCCTGGTTTGAGTCCTGGTTTGAGTTCTGGTTGGTCCAATTCTGATCCAGCTCCCTGCTAATGCTCCCAGGAAAGCAGCAGCAGATGACCCACGTGCTTGGCTCCTGTATCCACTTGGGCGACTTGAATGGAGTTCCAGGTTCATGGCTTCAGCCTGGCCCAGTCCCAGCCATTGTGGTCATTTGGGGAGTGAACCAGTGGATGGAAGTTTGCTTGCGCTCTCTCTCTGTCTAAAACTCTGCCTTTGAAATAAATAATCTTTTAAAAAAACCACTCTCACATATATGTATATGCATATGTACATAAGACAAGGTCTTCAGAAAGTCATGGAAAGTGCATATTTTAGGGTGGATATTTGGCCTTGCTAGGGACGGTGCTGGGATAGGCCATGTCTCCATATCATAGAGCCTGGGTTCAAGTCTAGACTCTACTTCTCATTTCAACTTCCTGTTAATGCAGACCCTGGGAGGCAGCAGGTGATGGCTCAAGTCCTTGGGTCACCGCCACCCATGTGGGAGACCTGGACTGAGTTCCAGGCTCCTGGCCTCAGCCTGGCCAGCTGTTGAGGCATTTGGACCTGGGGTGTGAACCAGTGGATGGGCGCTCGCTCTCTTTCTCTCTCTGTCCTCAAATAATTTTTTAAAGAAAATGCAAATTACGAAAAATCTATGTATGGACTTCAAATTTTTTTGCACCAAAATAAACTTACTTTTTAATTCCACTTTTCCACAAACTTTTCAGAATACCCTCATATATGCAAGAATCCTGCTGACTCTAAGTCTCTGAAGGACCCTGGTTAATACCACGCGCCACTAAAGGGTTGCAGGGTTCTCAAGGTGCCACCCGAAAGAGCATCAGGACAAAAAAGATGCCAACTGGGAGGAAGCTGCCAATCAGAGAAGCCTTGCATAGCAGCTGGAGGCCTGCACAGCATTCTGGAGCTGAGGTCAAGTTTGAGCAGGTGGAGGAAGGAGGAAGGTCTTTCTGGGGGAGGGGAACATGTTTGCTCCCTAAAGAGTGTAGAGCCAGGCCCAAGCAGGAGACCAGTTTTGGGGGTCACAGGTGCTTCTAGCACTGGTACTTTCCCCATAGCAGCTGTCACAGTTGCACTGAACACTGATTAGCGGGAGTTTTTTTTTTTTTTTTTTTTTTGACAGGCAGAGTGGATAGTGAGAGAGAGAGACAGAGAGAAAGGTCTTCCTTTTGCCGTTGGTTCACCGTCCAATGGCCGCCACGGCTGGCGCGCTGCGGCTGGCGTACCACGCTGATCCGAAGGCAGGAGCCAGGTGCTTCTCCTGGTCTCCCATGGGGTGCAGGGCCCAAGCACTTGGGCCATCCTCCACTGCCTTCCTGGGCCACAGCAGAGAGCTGGCCTGGAAGAGGGGCAACCGGGAAAGAATCCGGCGCCCTGACTGGGACTAGAACCCGGTGTGCCGGCGCCGCTAGGTGGAGGATTAGCCTATTGAGCCGTGGCGCCGGCCGGGAGTGTGTTTTTAACTCCTGTCTCTTTCTGTAGGCCAGAGTCTGATTTTTTTTTAACACATATGCAATCCCCATGACTACTTAATTCCATTCTTAGCACAGGTAGATGTTGAATAAATTTTTTAAAGATTTTATTTATTTTATTTGAGAGGCAGAGTTACAGACAGAGAGAGGGAGAGATAGAAAGGTCTTCTATCCACTGGTTTACTCCCCAGATGGCTGCAACAGCTGAAGCTAGGCTGATCCAAAGCCAGGGGCCAGGAGCTTCTTCCAGGTCTCCCATACAGGTGCAGGGGCCCAAGGACTTGGGCCATCTTCCACTGCTTTCCCAAGCCATAGCAGAGAGCTGGATCAGAAGAGAAGCAGCTGGGACACAAACCAGTGCTGATATGGGATTCTGGCACCACAAGCAGAGGCTTATATTTAGCCCACTATGCTACAACATTGGCCCTGTTGAATAAATATTATGAAGTGAATTCATTTCCCCTCTTCCTTAACTATACTCTCTACTCTGTTCCAAGGTGTCAAGAAGTTGCCAACGGTGGCTAGGTCTCCCCGTTTTCTTAATAAAGAGACAGCTATATCACTTTCTTTCTTTCTTTTGTTCTCTCTCTCTCTCTTTTTTTGTTTTAGATTTATTTTATTTATTTGAAAGGCAGAGTTACAGAGAGAGACAGAGTGAGAGATATCTTTCATCTGCTGGTTCACTTCCCAGATGGCCATAACAGCTGGGGCTGGGCCAGGCTGAAGCCAGGAGTCGGGAGCTTCATCCAGGTCTCCTGCATGGGTGCAGGGGCCCAAGCACTTGGGCCATCTTCCATGATTTCCCAGGTACATTAGCAGGAAGCTGGATAGGCAGTGGAGCAGATGGAACTTGAACCTGGTGTCCATATGGGATGCCAGCATCCCAGGCTGCGGCTTAACCTGCTGGGCCACAACGCTGGTCCCTCACAGCGTACTTTAGAGTAAAAAGCCCCAGAATTTGGAGACAAATAGATGGTTTCTTTCAAGAGCCCAACCAGATGAATTGTTTCATCCACTATCATTGAGACAGCCAACTTAAAATGAACTTTCTTACAGGTGGCTTCATTGGAGAAAAGCTCCAGACCAATTAATCTACTCTAAGGTAACAATAATAATAAACACGCAGAACTTCCTGTGTACCACATAGTGCTCTCCTAGAGCGTATTCCTCAAGGATTCACTTAACCCTCAATAACTCTAACGGGGAGCTGCTGTGTTACCCCATCTCACAGATGAAGAAACTGAGTGGCAGAGAGCTTGAAGAACTTGCTGCAGATCACACAGAAGGTGTCCGAGGGAGCCAGGCAGGCTGGCTGCAGACGACGGATCCGTAACCGCAGACTTTGCAACTTGGAGGCGCCTCTGCCACCTAACTGACCTCCTACTCAAAGCCGGGCCTCATCAAAGCCGAGTGACAGCTCGGGAGCTTGCTTGTGCCTGTCACTCTATACGCGCTGTTGGTAAGACACAAACTTAGTCCTGGGGCACTGACATAAAACAGCCTGCAGGCTGGCACTCTCACCACACTCCCCTCCGTGGGAATCTGCTGCAAGCTGTGTACTGGTGTGGCCTGCACTGCAGAGCAGGTTCTTTCCCTGGGATTCGTTTCTCATCGGTTGGGAAGTTGTTCCTAGGAAGACGCGGAGTCCACAGGGACTTTTCTTAGGCTTCCGATAAAATATTTTCATTATGTGGATGTGGTCTTCTTGGTGCTTAGTAAAGCTTTGCTTATTTTGGGTGCTGATGGAATTATATGTAGAGGGATTGCCATTCAAGGAAAGAAACAGTCATTAGTTCCTCCTAAGCCTGGATGTCTTTCTGTAACTGAGAACACAGCTTTCCCAAAATCATACACAGCTCCTTGGGGACAAGACTCTAAAGGAGACAGGATGCTCACAAGCATCCTTGGTCCAAAGGGGCCTTGGGCCTGGCCTCTCTTCCTGGGTTGCTTCTGAGTTGGCCACTGGAGCCACTCACAGTCCTCATCCTTGTTGCAGATCTCTCCCGGTCTCTGCACAGCTCAGGAGCAGAGCCCCGGCACTTCACTGGCCTACTGGTCTCATCAGTGTCATCACGGCTGACCTCACAGCCATCCTGCCCTTCATCCTGCCTGTGGCCTCTCCCTCCCCCACAAAATGCCCTGTGCAGGTTCCTTCCCGCCAGAAGCGCTGTTCTCTCTTCACCTGGTGAGCTCCATCTCATCCTTCAAGACGCTGGCAGGAGTCTTCATTTATTTATTTTCTTAAAGATGTATTTATCTGAAAGACAGAAACAGAGAAGAGAGAGATCTTCCATCCACTGGTTCACTCCACAAATGACTGCAAAGGCTGCTGCTGGTCTAGGCTGAGGCCAGGAGCCTGGGGCTCCATTCAGGCTTCCAACGTGGGTGGCAGGGACCCAGGCATTTTGGCCACCTTCTGTTGCTTTCCAAGACACATTAGCAAGGAACTAGATGGGAAGCAGAGCAGCCGGGACTTTACCAGCGCTCTGATGTGGGATGCCGGCATCTCAAGCGGTGGCGTCACCGGCTGCACCATGACGCCGGCCCCGGGAGTTTTCCTGTATAATGTTCCTCACCTGCCCCAGCAGGAGGGACCCACCCCAGCAAAGTGCCCCACGGTGCCACGGCTGTCCTCCGGGTGCTACACAGCCTTATTAGGCACAGGTTACTTGGTTGTGGGGGTCTTCCTCTCTAAACACAGGGATCAATCCCTAATTGTTGTCTTCCTTCTCCCTACTTGTAGCCTTTCCGTCCAGCACAAAGCCTGGTGGGCAGTGGCTGCGCTGTGCAGGCTACACTTTCTGAGCTTGGTCCCACCCACTATCTCAGCAAGATGGTCCTGACCACAGCCCTGGTCCTATGTTTGGGACTATGCGAACCTTGGCTCTTGTATGTCTGGATGCAGAGCCTAGAAGCCCCCACGTAGGGGGCTGTGATGCGGCTGTGACCTGTGATGACCTGAGTTGACCGGAGATGAGCCAGGATATCAGGCTCTGCTTTTAGGAATGTGAGCTCAGACACATGGGAAAAACTGGCAGAAGACAGGAAGGGTGTGGCAGGGTCACACAGAAGGGAGAGGAGTGAAAACTTAGGGCTGCCCGACCCTTAAAGAGCCCAGCGTGGCCCTGGCTCTCAGGAGGCCCTGCAGGTCTTGTCTCCGGGAGGCCCAGCTGGGCTGAATCCACTGCTCTCGGTTTCTGAGACCCAAGTGCCCTCCCTGGTAGCCAGCCTCAAGGAGGGTGCTGTCCTCATCTCCTTCTAGTCTCGCCCTTGTATACTCTGTCCACACTGAATAAGGCTGACTCCTATGACCAACGGGACACTGCAGAAGTGAAGGTGCGACTTCCATAAAACATCATTGCAGGCACTGCAGGTTCTGCCTTGCTGGCCTCTGGGGAGAGCCGGTCACCACACTGTGAGGACACTCAAGGAACCTCGTGGAGACATCCGAGTGGGGAAATGCGAAGGCCTCCCGCTGACCAGTGAAACTCAGGATGCACATGAGTGAACCGCCTGGGGGTGGGTCCTCCTGCCCCCACCAGCATGCTGCTGGCTGACACCTGGCTGACATCCCGACTGCGTGCGGCTCTGAAGTCAAAATGACTCAGCTGAGCCTCTCCCAAGTCGTGACCCGCAGAAACTGGTGAGATGACGAACATTTGCTGTTGTTCAATGCCAGCAAGTGTTGGGGGACACTGTGGTGCAGCAACAGATACTTATTTCTGTCTGTTTCTTTTTTTTTTTGACAGGCAGAGTGGACAGTGAGAGAGAGAGACAGAGAGAAAGGTCTTCCTTTTGCCGTTGGATCACCCTCCAATGGCCGCCGCTGCAGCCGGCGCACCGCGCTGATCCGATGGCAGGAGCCAGGATCCAGGTGCTTTTCCTGGTCTCCCATGGGGTGCAGGGCCCAAGCACCTGGGCCATCCTCCACTGCACTCCCTGGCCATAGCAGAGAGCTGGCCTGGAAGAGGGGCAACCGGGACAGAATCCGGCGCCCCAACCGGGACTAGAACCCGGTGTGCCGGCGCCGCAAGGTGTCTGTTTCTGTACAACAAATACTCCTTGTGTGAGCTGATGTGCAAATACAACCACGGGCCACGTGATGAGGTTTCTGTTCATGGTGAACCACAAACAGCAGCGGTCCGTGAGATTGCATTGCCTGAGGATGTGACAGCCGTCCCGATTTGTGTGCCTACTCTTGGGGGTGCTCACACAATGACTGAATCGCCTGACGACACATTTCTCAGAACACGGCCCTGCGGTTAAGCAGCCCACGGCTGTGCTCACTGTTCATTCACTGATGTCTCCCCTGGGGTTGGTGGGTTCCCAGCTACACCCTGTGGGCAGTTTGTGCCTTGGAATTAGCATCTGTTCTGCTGGAAGCATAGAAGAGGAAGAAATCTCTCTCTCTCTTTCTCTCTCTGTGTGTGTGTGTGTGTGTGTGTGTATAGGCCCATGTTGTGGCACAGCAGTTTAAGCTACCAGTTGCAACACTGGCATCTCATACTAGCATGCCTGTTCAAGTCCCGACTGCTCCACTTCTGATCCAGCTTCCTGCTAATGCACCTAGGAAAGCATCACAAGATGGCTCAAGTGCGTGAACTCCTGCCACCCACGTGGAGATCTGGGTTGAGTTCCTGACTCCTGGCTTTGGCCTGGCCTGGACCTAACTGTTGCAGCCATTTGGGGAGTGAACCAGTGGATGGAAGATCTTTCTTTCTCTCGCTCACTTTGCTCTCAAATAAATAAATAAATAAATGTTTTTTAAAGGATATATCTCAGGGTCGGTGCTGTGGTGAAGCAGGTAAAGCCATAGCCTGTGGTGCCGGCATACCATATGGGTACCAGTTTCAGTCTCAGATGATCTACTTCCAATCCAGCCCCCTGCTAATGTGCCTGAGAAATCAGTAGAAGATGGCCTGAGTGCTTGGAACCCTGCACCCATGTGGGAGACCTGGAAGAGGCTCCTGGCTTCCGATTGGCCCAGCTCCAGCCATTGCAGCCATTTGGGGAGTGAACCAGTGGATGGAAGACCTCTCTCTGTGTCTCTCCCCCTCTCTCTCTCTCTAACTCTGCCTTTCAAATAGATAAATAAATCTTAAACAATGATATATCTCAATGACACATCATATATTTTGGCTATGTTATTGCTTTAAAGGGTGTTCATACATATCTCACTTGACCCTGTTAACAATGGACATTGTTATATAAGCTTACAGCTACAGATTAGCTGTACATTGAGAATGTTTGCATTAATGCATGGGTGAAGCACACTTCAGTCCTTTTACTCATACACACACACACACACACACACACATAGTTTCATTTGTTCAACACCAATAGTTCCTAACAGAAATTAATCTTGCCTTCGGGGAATTTACAATCTAGTAAGAGCATTAAAACTTGTATATCAATAACTGAAACACTGGCCGGCGCCGCGGCTCACTAGGCTAATCCTTCGCCTAGCGGCGCCGGCACACCGGGTTCTAGTCCTGGTTGGGGCGCCGGATTCTGTCCCGGTTGCCCCTCTTCCAGGCCAGCTCTCTGCTGTGGCCAGGGAGTGCAGTGGAGGATGGCCCAGGTGCTTGGGCCCTGCACCCCATGGGAAACCAGGAAAAGCACCTGGCTCCTGGCTCCTGCCATCGGATCAGCGCGGTGCGCCGGCCGTGGCGGCCATTGGAGGGTGAACCAACGGCAAAGGAAGACCTTTCTCTCTGTCTCTCTCTCTCACTGTCCACTCTGCCTGTCAAAAAAAATTAAAAAATTAAAAAATTAAAAAAATAACTGAAACACTGTTAAGAAGCATTTTTTGGGAATTTGCCCAAGGGAAATGAAATCAGCATATGAAATAACCCCCATTTTCATTGTAGCTTAATTCATAACAGCTAAGATATGGCATCAACCCAGATGTCCATCAGTTGATGACTGGATAAAGAAATTATGGAGTATATACATTATGGAATACTACTCAGCAGTAAAAAAAAAATGAAATCCTGTCCTTCGCAACAAAATGGATGCAACTGGAAATCATTATGCTTAGGGAAATAAGCTAGTCCCAAAAAGACAAATACTGTCTGTTTTCCCTGATCTGGGGTAACTAATAGAGTATCTACAATGTAGTATATAGGAGTGAAATTGATGTTTTGAGATTCAATGATTGTTTACAGCCCTTGCCTCTACTATTGAGGAACAGTGGGTTTTTCCTCATACTATTTTTCTAAGATTTTAAAAATTTATTTTAGAGGTAGAGTTATGTCAGAGAGAGAGAGAGAGAGAGACAGAAAGGTCTTCCATCTGCTAGTTCACTCCCCAAATGGCCACAATGGCAGGAGCTTCCCCGATCCAAAACCAGAAACCAGGAGCTTCTTTTGGGTCTCCCATGCAGGTACAGGAGTCCAAGCACTTGGGCCATCTTCTACTGCTTCCCCAGGCCATAGCAGAGAGTTGAATTGGAAAAGGAGCAGCTGGGACTAGTACGGCACCCATATGGGATGCTGGCGCCAAAGGCAGAGGATTAGCCTACTACACCATAGCGCCAGCCCCATACTATTTCTTGAACTCTTTACTTATTGTAGGGTTAATCTTATTAGTATAAGGAAACTGAAAATAGAGCTTTGTAAAAATTAAGAGTGGGAATAGCTGAGGGAGGAGGATGGGAGTGCAGATGGGAGGGAGGGTATCACTATGTTCCTAAATTTGTATATATGAAATGCATGAAGTTTGTATAACTTAAATATAATTTTTAACTAAGATTTATTTATTTATTTGAAATGCAGAGTTACAGAGGGCAGAGGCAGAGCAAGAGAGAAAGAGAAGTCTACCATCCATTGCTTCACTCCCCAGATGGCTGCAACAGCCAGAGATGCGCCTATCCAAAGCCAGGAGCTTCTTCTGGATCTCTCACATGGGTGCAGGGGCCAAAGGACTTAGGCCACCTTCTACCGCTTTCCCAGGCCATAGCAGAGATTGGATCAGAAGTGGAGCAGTTGGGTCTGGAACCAGTGTCCACTGGTGACACTGCAGGTGGTGGCTTTACCCTCTATGCCACAGTGCTGGTCCCCAAATATATTTTTTAAAAAGTAACTTTTCTGCTTTAAGCCAATATGTCTTGGGTGATTTTTAAAAAAATGTTTATTTATTTGAAAAGCCAAATAACACACAGAGAGAGGAAGAGATGCAGATAGAGAGATCAATTTTCCATGGACTAGTTTACCCCCCAAATGGCCTCAACAGCCAGGTCTGGTCCAGGCAGAGGCC